AAAGGATGCAGTCCTCTTGTTGAAAAATAATTTTAGTTTATATACCATGATTTTTGCTTTAAAATCCATTTTGACAACTTCAGTGGGAAATGCCCTGTGAGTTTATAGCAGCCTTTAACAGCTGAAGTCAGATTGGTAGCACTTCCTTCCAAGGAACTCTTAGTTTAAGGACATTGCAATCAAAAGACGCAAGTAACCTACTTGACTTAAGAACAGACAAAGAAAGATAAAGAAGGTTACTACATGAAGACCATTCTATCTACTTGGAATACAAACCTCACACTAAGAATCCAGCTCTTGCAAGAGCAGAAAACACTTGCCATAAGATGATGATGATTATTGATACCACAGTGAAAATGCTCAGCTTACTGACATCAGTGTTTACACATAGAGGTTTGTCACAGTGAGTAGCAAGTTACACCACTTTGCCATAGAAGTTCAATATTGAACAATCTACATGGCATCAGAGTGTGACTCATCAATGTCCTCCACTCACACTGGCTTTCAAAGTGGGAGGCATGGAGCAGGTTGCCAGCAACTGCAAGAGTGGATAGAAATCAATGGCTTGTACACACATAGACACATAAACAGTCTCAGTTTAAATAATTTTCCAGCATCCATCTTGTGCAAAGACAATAGAATTACACAAATGCTCACCAAAAAAAAAAATAATCAAGGGTTAATTAGCTCAAAACAAACAAACTAAAAACCCCTCCGGTTTGTTGAATCAGTGCAAGCCTCAAATGGTATGAGAAGTGATAGAGCTCTGACTCATGTTTACAGAGAAAAAAGCTGCACTGCTTCAGCCCTTCCAGCTTCCTACCATCTGCTTCAACCTTCTCCCAGAGCCACTCACCCTGCAAATGAGTTGACAGAAGAAAACATGACTGTGCCTGAGTCAATTCAGTTCAGCTGGCATCTTCACTTAAAACCACGTTTTATGGGAAGTTTATTTTGCCTGCCTGAACTGAAGCGGCTCAGGTGCAGACACGTTCCCTCCTGCTACCTGCCCAGTAAGGTCCAAGAGGGAAGGGAGCTGGCACACAGGGGCTACTCACAGTAGCAACATACCCAAACTTGTCTTCCACTGCTCTGGAACTCATGAACTTGTGCATCCACACAAGATTTGCCACTTAACAATATGCCCATTTAAAAAATCCTACTGTGTTAAATGTCATTCACCCTCCATTTTGCTTTCCTGTAACCCACAAAATCAGTGCCCCAAATGACCACAGGTATAAAGGATTCTTTTCTGAGTATGTATACCTAGCTGAATAAGTGCAGTAAGTATGAAGTGAGTTAGTTCTGCCTCCATTGCACAAATAAAGGACTTTACATATATGTAAATACAGTGGCTGAACTGGCTAGGTACAGCAGCAGATCTGCCCTTCAGTTACAGATGCTATCTTTGCTCTGGGGAAAGGAATTTGTTTTCTGAGCTTTCCATGCAGCTACCTTGATAAGTGAGCACTGAATACTTTAGAAAAATACAGATGTGTGTGTAATAGGGGAAGGCAAAGGAAAAAAAGAAAATGAAACACAACACCAAATTTACAAGAAAAAAAAGAACAGCTAAGTACCACATGATTAGAGTTAGGAAAATGTTTCAAGGTAAAATAATATACTGAAATTTTAAGGACAAATTCAGTAATTTGTGGTGTCTCAACTTGAGCAATTTAAAACAGGCATAATTTTTAAGGACAACTCAAGCACAGCATCCCCCTTAGGACCCAAAAGTGCTTGTAATCATTCATGTTACATTTAATAGACAAGTTGCAGAAATAAAACTGCTTGTTATTTGCATTCTTTTCCTTTGGAAGGGGAGGGAGACAGGAATTATAAATATTTTACCTGCTTGAAACCTCATGGTTTGTTGCTTTTCTTTCAAGCAAATCCTAGCTTATCTCTTTGAAAATTAAAAAGAACAGTGAATGATAAAAGGAAGAAGTGGTGATGTACTTGGAGTATACAAGAGATAAAAGTCAAAAGAGAGAAAGAAATAAAACCAATTGAAAGCAAGAGTTGGAAAAAGTAGGCAGAAAAAAGCACAGAAGCACCAATATGAAGAAACAAAGATTACAAAGGCACGGCTCAGTGTCAAAAGCTATCCAGGTCAAAATGTGTGACATATGTTTGTTTTTGGAGACCTAAGATTTGTTGATTTGGAGAAATGTATTTCTCCCCTGAAGAGTATTCCAAAGTACATGAGATAAAGCTCTGGATGAGTGGATGTCAAGAGTAAAATAAAAGGAATGGGGGGGAAAATCACATTGGAGAAACAAATGAAGCCAAAGGATAAGGGACAACTGTTTATGTTAGCATGATGTTTTCAAGGAATTAGCTCTCCAGGAATAATCTCTTTCCTACTTCCCCTCTTCAGTGTGTGCAACCAGGGAATGACCTGGACCATGAGTACCTATTTTCCAGTTTCCAAAACCAAAAGGAACAAAATAATTAATTACAATTAAAAAAAACCAAACCAAACAATTCCAAGAACATACAGGGTATCTTCCTCTTCAATGACAGTTGGACCTTACAGTTCAGACACATAAGGCACATGCCCATTTCAAAACCACTTTGTTCCACACGTACATAAAGAACTGAAAGACATTTCTGTCATATTCAATAAATAGCTGGTTAATGAGAAGCATCATAACCAAATAAGCCAGTAATGGCAACGACACTTAACAACTCAGGATGTTATCAACTGATCAATAAATAGTAACTTCACAGTACTAGGAATAACACAATTAGAAACTGCTTCAAAGTAACACTTTAACAAAAACTCCCCTCTTTTTCTAACATTGACACTCTTCTGCAGTTGCAACATCACTAACATACTGAACACCGTTCTCATAGTCTTTAGGTTTGGGTTTTAATTAGCCTTCAGAGGATGAGTAATAATTTTTCAACGCAAGTGCTTTCTAAAGACCAAAATCTACCTTATAATTATAAAAATAAAATACCATTGCCACCCTCTACTTTGATTTTCCTTAAAAGGAGAGTGCAAGTGATACAAGAATGACTCAAGACTGGTACATAGGAGAATTTCTACAGTTATATTATATAAAGCCCAAGGTTCTTCCCGCTTCAAGACTGCCAGTTAGAATAAGCACCAACTATACATGAAAATGCTGTAGCTTGACTAAAAATGTTATCAATCACATATGGTTACACTGCAAATAATCTCAAAGACCTGACAGAAGTTGCAGAATTCAACTCCGGTAGAGCACGTAAGTCCCAGTAGTAATGAAATCAGAAGGTGATGAACAGCCAGCCGCTCATCCTGCTTTAGCAGTTCTCAATCACGCAGCTGCAGAGAAAATTTCTCTCTGAAGGATCAAAGTGTTAAAACGTACAAATAAACTGTAAATAGTGGTTTGATAAATCAGTTTTACAATCATGACCATAAAACATTACAGTTTCGATCCCACATTTACACTCGCGTTCAAAGGCTGTTCTGAAGATGACGAGACTGCACACAGACGCAAGTGTCAGCCCACACAGAAAAGCTTTACAAAACTAGGCAAACAGAATACAGTAGCACCCAGTCCTGATGCAATACTGTCAGGTTACACCTTTAATACCCGTTCAAAACCAGGCAAGTAAACACTCTTGCACTGTAGATACCAGAACTGACTGTTATTTCAACTACTCACATGATATTCAAGCTTCATAACGTCTGCAGAAGATTTACAATTAATAAATCCCTCTAAAGTAATCTGAAGCCCACTAATAACAACTCATCTGCTGAGCTCACATATGCATTTAGCCACTGGTTACCTGCCGAGCATTTTTACCTTCTTTACTGCTACCAGTGTTGTTAAGATGATCTGCATTTAACAGGTACAATTTTGGGTTTGTTAATGTCACTATCTTCTTGCTTGAAGACACCAAGTAATGAATGACCTTTGTTTCTCAACTGTATCACTTAGCAAAACAAACATAATTCCTGTAGGCAGCACTGAGCCTCAGTTATAAATAATAGCTCCTATTCCAGAAAAAAAGTAATGTGAAGATGTTTTTCCCTGCCACAAATCAAACTACAATAATTTAAAACAGGTAAAGTAGTACTAACCCTTTAAAAATAATTCAATTATTGTTATATAAAGTGTTTTAGAAGTATAAACATCTTTGTACTTGGTGCTTAAATAAAAATAAGTAAATAAAAGTCAAACTGTATTGCTCATATCAAATGCCTAATTCTTTATTGCCATATGTAGTTAATTTAACCACTCCAACATAAGTGCAAAAATCAGTATATCTGATTTGCTGTCACTGTATGTTCACTTTACACAGATGAAAAGGACTCTTGAAAATTCAGAGCAACAGAGAAAACAGCCCTAGAAGGACAACACAAGCACGCTTAATAAAAAATACAAACCAAACCAAAGCAAACATAGTTTAAACTAAAACCAAACTCATATACAAGCTATAATCACAAACAGAAACTAATGCTGTTACCTAGTGGTGGAATGCTAGGTACATGCAAAATTGTATGACTCTTTACTTTTTTTCTCCTCACTTGGAATTCTCATCTACAAGCTATTAAGCAACGTTAAGAGAACAAAACCAGGCCTAATTAATAAACTAATGAAAGATACCTTTTTTCTTGCATTCAGTTCTATGACAAAAGGTCAGTATTTTTGCACCTGCCAGTTTTGATTCTCAGAGTAATTAACACACAAGAAGCTACACCGTTTCCTGGCCATCCCAAACCTGTTGTTTTACACTCCTCACGCAACATCAGCAAGAGCTTTTACACCTTCAATGTTAATCCTCAAACATTAGTTTTTCACAGAGTACGATAACCCAAACTGTATTATGCACTCCTCCTCAGCATCTTATTGGATCACATTTTCAATTATACAAACCTGTATTAGGTGAATTCAGTCAGCATTCTCTATGACACCTAAATAAAAATGTTTATTTTGCTTTCAGTCAAAAAATAAATAACTAGAAGAGGAGAAGGAAGATACGAAGACTTTAACATCACTTACTCAAATGCAAAGAAGAGTCCACTGGTGACCAAGATGAGAACAAGAGTCAGGTAGAAAACTCCAGTCTGTCGAGCCATCATGATCCTCCCATTGCAGAAGAATTTGTTTCTTCCAGGAAAAACCTCCCATTTTCTCTTGGGAACTGATTTCTTTTTCTTATGGGGAGACTCCATGGGAGACGAAGAACTGTGTGTGCTGATCTGACTGTATTCACAGTCTTTCATGGGCCCACTACCACCTCCAGGAGTCATCAAGAAAGAGTAAAATGTGGGGAGAACCCCACCAAAAATATATACAATATATATATATGTGCAAATATTCTTGTGACCAAGACAGCCCTCTCCACGAGCCCCAGTTAATAAAAAATGCAAATAAAATGATGAAAAGTCTGCTACCAGACTAGCAAGAGGTGTATAATGCAAACACCAGTTAACTCTTCAGAAACCAAAGCTGTCATACCAGAAACGCTTGAGAGGGATCCTTCCTTCCTCCACCAGTTACAAAACAACCAAGTAGGACAATCCTTTTCAAAACAACTTATCACAAAACAAAGAGGGGAAAAAAGCAATTATAAAGCAATTAGGCTCCAAAAAATTAGTCTTTTTTTTTCAAGTTTATTTTCAAATGGGAGGATTTTTTTATCCTTCCCACGCACACCCTGAGAGCTCTCTCCGAGGGTCAGAAGGTTGGTCAAGGCAAGGTTTAGCAATCGAGTCTATCTTTCATAGAGATCTGTTATAATCCTCCTTTGAGCAGCAGATTTCACTGCTAAAAATGACCATTCCTAAGACGTTCCCTCGAGAGATACGCGTAACAAATCATTAAGGAGGAGAAGACAAAAAAAAAACAAAAAAAAAAAAACAAAAAACCACTCAAGTAAGGAACCAGGCTGCAACTCCAGCTCCGAGGAACACTTCAAGCTCTCCTCCTCCTGAAGCCGCAGTCCAGCGGGAAGCGGCCGCCGCTCCGCGCAGACCCGGGGGTGCAGGGCTCCCCTGTCACTACTCCATAGGAAGGGATTCTCCCGAGCCCGCGGCAGCCCGGGGCAGGGCCAGTCGCCGACAGACACCAGCGCCTCGGGAGCAGGTCCTCCTCATCCTCCCTCCCCGCCGCCGCCGCGCTGCTCAATCTGCGCCTCCCCCTACACAACAGGTCCCCGCCGCCGCCTCATGCTGCCCAGCGCCTCGGCCCCGCGGCAGTGAGGGTGGGAGGCAGGGGACAGGGAGGCTTCGCCGCCGGTGGGAGATCTCCACCAAGACTTCTCGCTCCCCGCACCATCCTCCCCGCCCGGCTCAGCGCCGCCGCGGGCCCTCGCACCCCGCCCCGCCGCAGGCTCTCGCCCACGGCCCGCGGCGGTGCTGGGGCCCCCCCCGCATCCCGCCCCCTCCCCCGGCGCGCAGGAGCGGCTCCCGCCGGCGTCCCTGGCTCCGCTGGGCTTTGGCCCCGCAGCGAGGTGAGAAAAACGCCCGGCCTCCCCCTCCGCGAACCAGAGAGCGGCGACTTTCTCTCCACCTTTCTCTAGGAGCCTCTATCCAGGTTTCCCCCCAGCAGCCAGACCCAGAAGCAGCAGCTGCCACCACCTCTTCATTTTCAGGGGGAGGCGGTAACCACCGCAGCGCCGGCCGCCCGCCCGCGGGAGGAGCCGGTGAGGGACGGGACCACACAGGCGCGCACCCTCCGCCGCCCCCGCCGGCCGCTCGGTCACTCAGTCGCTTCCCGGCGAAAGGGCAGCAGGTCCCCGGCACCAGCCGACCCGGTCCGGCCCCCTCTCCCCGGCCACTGGAGCGCGGCGATAGCGCTAACTTCTCTCCATCGCCGCCCCCCCAGGCAGCCGCCCGCCGGGCAGCGGGTGCCTGCGCTGGAGCTCCGCTTCTGCCGCCGCCTCCCGCTCAGCCCTCGCCGCCCCCGCCCCACGCTCCGCCGAGCCGCAAGCGGTGTGTGCCGCCAGCCCTGGGCGGCGGCGGCCCGATCCTGCCCCGCTCTCGCTGCCGAGTGCAGACGACTCCCGCAGCCGAGTCCCGCGGACGACCGCTGGGCACGGAGAGGCCCCACCCACGCGGCCCGACCTAGTGGGACCAGCCCCCGCCCCGTGCGGGCTCAGACACGGCACTCAAAAGCACACCCCTCTACCCGCCGGGAGTTGTAGTTTCTCTCAGTTGTAGTTTCGCAGCCGGAGGCGGGACGGCGTCGAGCGGGACTGCAAGCCCCAGCATGCTTTGCGAGCCGTCCCGGCGGGGCGGGGCGGGGCCACCCCACCAGCTGTCGGAGGGTGGTGCCTCCGCCCGGGCTGGCCGTGCCCCGGGCCTCGAACGGCCCCGCACGGCCCAGGCAGCCACGCTTGCACCCCCGCCTTCCTCCGCCCTCCCCCGCGACCGGGGATCATGTCCAGGCTTGTGTTTCAGTCAGGCCGGAGGGCTGGGGCTGGAACCCGCCGCTCCCGCGCGCTTCGGGTCCCCTGCGTAGCCAGAGGTCCCGCCCGTCCGAAGTGCGCGCTTGCACCGCTGCTGGGCCAGCGGGCGGCTGTCCCCGCTGTCGCTCGTGAGTGCCAGTGTTTCGCTGCTCCATCGGTGCCATCCACATGCTCCATTATGCTATGCTGCTGAAAGACCAAGGCTCGTCCAACGACGCTGACATGTTCGTACAGACTCTCGCTCTCTCCTGACTTCACGTCCCAGAAGGTACTGCACATCCCAGAAAGGGACGAGCCATGAAGGAAAAGCCTTTCCATAAATGCAGTCCTGCACTAAGCCCTTCTCACGCTAGCGCTGGTGGCAGGAGTGCCTGCAGAAAGGCCAGGGAGGCTTCCCACAGCTAAGGCAGAACCAGTCTCAAAGCTGCTTGATGTTGTTTCTGCCTGATATGTTCTTCGTGTGCATCCAAAGAAGAGCTATGAAGCTGGTGAAGAGTCTGAAGCATAACTCTTAGGAGCAGCTGAGGAAGCTGGGGGTGTTTAGCCTGGAGAAAAGGAGGCTCAGGGGAGATCTTAGAACTCCCTACAACTACCTGTAAGGAGGGTGTAGCCAGGTAGAGGTCAGTCTGTTCTCCTAAATAACAAGCAGTAGAACAAAGGAAATGTCTTGAAGTTGTGCTAGGGAAGCTTTAGATTGAATATTAGGAAAAATTTCTTCACTGAAAGGGTAGTCAAGCGCTGGAACAGGCTGCCCAGGGAAGTGGTGGAGTCACCATCTTTGGAGGTATTTAAAAGACGTGGATGTGTTTTAGTGGTGGATTTGGCACTTACAGGTTTACAGTGAATTCTATGATCTTAAAAGTCTTTTCCAACCTAAGTGATTCTATAATTTTATGATCTGCTAGAGATAAGCGGGCATGCACAGTGCTAAAAGACTTTCATTTTAACACATCTTTTAAAGTTTTGCAACTTACTAGCAGAGCTGTGTAAACTACAGAGACTGGACTAGTCTGGGATATGTGGTAGGAATCAACACAGTTCAGAAAATTCAAAAGCACACTGAACAAACTTCTGTAGAAAGCTGAAATAAAAAGTTGATTTGAACCAGCCTGCATCTCTCATGGTTGAATGTTGTCCTAGGAGAGACAGCAAAAACACCATGTGAGGATGCAGATAAGCGCTCGTACATAGGCAGTGTTTTCTGTTTTCATAATTCTGTTTTGAATTTTGGAATGGAATATTTATCTCTTTAATTTAATACAACAAGCTAATTTTTTATCCATAAACAGTGTGTGATAACAAAGGAACCGTGGAACAGATTGACCAGCACTAGATAATTTCCCTGTTCTAGGAGGAAATTACTTTGGTAACCAAATTACATGGAGTAGCCTGGTAGACACTCTTGGTGATTATATGATCCATTATATTGATACACAAAAATAATTTTGAAATGTTAATGACACATGGGAAAAATATGGAGGGGTGTCTCCCTCTGAAAGGTGTAAAGGAGTAGTCCTATGGCAGCAGGATATAAAAACAGTTTCTGATATCATCTCTCATGCAAATCCATTGGAATCCTTTTTGCACACATGTTGCTGCCTTATTCCTTTCCATCTCCACCTCCTGTTATAGTGCCTGTTGTTGACAGTTTGCGTGCTATATTATAACTTGGCTATCACAGCATTTTTTATTCTTTGAAATGGTCTTTATAAACAACTAATAATTTTTCTTCCTTAATGAATATGGCATCTATGTATGCCAGCAGAAGGCTGCTGACAGAATCTTTTTTATTCACTGACAAGCACTTCTAGTCTTCCTCAGGTTTTTATTAGCATATTGCTGGAGATCTGTCTTCAGTGCTTTGACAATATTAATGACTGTGTCATGTCAAATGGCACTATTCTCTCCTGAGGTTATGGAATATTTTAGACATTCACAAATAGAGCAAACGGTTTATGCAAAAATGCCATTGTTGGCTTATCTTCACAGGTAGCACTCAGGCTAATTTCAGAAACACTCTTCAAAAGCAAAACACTTGTAAACAATATCAGCACCTCATTCAAGCCGCTGTCTCATGCCGCAATCTTTCCCTTGGGTTTTAACACATTATATAATTGAGAAGTGAACTTCAGGCATATTAACTGAAAGAAACACATAAAGAAATTTGAGGAGTGCATGGAAAAATGATTCTAAAAGTCAAACTCAGAGAACAAACACACTTTTATTTTCAATAATGAGTCTACTTTGATTCTAACAGGATTTTCCAGTGCCACACATTGTACTTTTCACATGATAGCCTGTTCTAGTCCCTAACCATTACTAGTATTGCATTGGAATTTCAAGTATTATTCGTATCCTTTTGCAAACATTACAAACACACTATCAACACCTATTTGAAGTTTTTTTCAAAACAATTTGAAAACTCCCCTATAAAAAGGACTTTAGACAGCTAATATTTCACACAATTCAGTATTATTCTTGAAAGCATTTATTATTGTTTATTCACAGTAATGAAAATTGGTTTGAGGCGCTGAATAGTTTAAATCTTACAGTAGGTAGGACAAATATTCTCTCTTCATAAAACTTTGTTGGATCATGTGTTATGGTATGTACTCTTCTGATTTCTTATTTTTGACTCAGGTTGATCTCATGCAATAGATGAATATAATGCAGCAATATTACTTGGTTTAAAAAAAAATCTAAGACAAACTATCTTTTTGTTAGGCAAATGCTAATGAAAGAACTGTTGCCACTAAAAATTGCTGTTTCTTACCCTGTCTGCAGTGTGGAGGTATCATAAGGGCAAGTCTTAAAACAACAAGGAAGCTAATTTGCTGTGATGAAATGTCACCTATATAGAACATCTGTTACGATGCTTCATGTCAGAATCTGCTTGAATATGTTGGAAGCAGTATCAAGCAAAGTATTTAAGTGATTAAATAAACACAAACTAGCAAACTCTAGCATTCTATATGTAAGATATCTGTACTTCATGTGTCCAACACTGCTAAATAAAATGCCCTTTGTTTACAATCAAAAAAGGGGGATGAAGTGACAAATATTGAACTGAAAGTTCTTCTAATATTCTTACAGGTGGAAAGAAAGGCACTGCTGTGGACACATTTTCTAGACACATTTTACACATATTTCACTATGAATTTTGAAAAATAAATGAGAAAGAAATCAAACAATAATACCATTGTCATGCAAGACGCTGAAAGTAGCTTTGCACATCCAAACTTGCTGAATGCTACAGTATATAAAACATGCCAGTTTAAAATGTCAAGAGTATGTAATGCTGAGAGTTTTCCCAGCCAAATATTTTTTTCCTTTTTCTGTGCTGTTTTACGTTTTGCTGCCATCATTTTAGTCTTACCAACTGTTCATTTTGTGAAAGTACTTAGTTTCCTTTAAAAAGCTGTTGTGTAAACTAGAAATATTATATTTCATAAGAGTTGGCAGGAAGAGAGAGTGAGAATGCACATCATAATCACTCTCTAAGGAATAAAACAAAAAAGAGAGTTTTTCATTACAACAATGTAATTGACTTAAGCAGGTCCAAAAAGCTTTTAAGTATCTCTTAAGTCTTGCTTTCAAAAGACTGAGATGACTAGTCATTTATTGTACAGCCTTCTAACAAAGTGTAATATATATTACTTTTCTGCAGTAGGTGAGTTAAGCAGACAAGATGAGGTAAGAAAGCTTTTTCATGGTAAATTCTAGAGACCAAATTAATTTTGTATTTACATTTATCCACTGCATGTTAAAACCATATCTCTTGATCGAGGTGGCTTTCTTTTTCTTCTGTTTTGAAGCATTAGAAACACAATTGTTTATAATTTAAAAATCTGAAATGGCTTCATCATATAGAGTCTGGAATATTTTGGTAGTTTTTCGACTTCTAACTTTGGCCTCTTAT